CTGGTAGCACAGCACCCTCCATCTGCCCCAAGCCGCCACAGAAGGTGGCAGAGCTGGGGCTGGGACTCCTGTGTCCATCCCCCTAGTCCACGCTGACATCAGCCTGTTCTTCCACCACAGGATGAAGTCTGCACCCACATGGAACGCCAGGAGATTCCATCTCTTTTCCAGAGTCAGCGCAGGTTTTAATCCCCCAACAACAGAGCCAAAGCTCAGGGTCGACTGCCATGGGCCCAGGCCTTACTCTTCATCAATTCCAAAGCTGCTGCTGCACCAGACACGCTGTGAGCATTTGTCATGGAGAACATTTCTCTAAGGCCACAAGTCTGCTCAGATGGGCAGCCCTTGGCTCACTCTGAAAACAGAAGGGTCAGAGCTGGGAACCATCTCTCCCCCGTAGCCTGCCTTCTAAAGCCATGGGGGAAAATCCTGCAAATAAAGGCAAAAGTGAAGGAGGCAGGGCTCTACCAACAACAGTAAGAGTTAACCCCCAGTGAATCCTTATATTGTAAGGTTTGATGTGCCATGGAATCCACACAGCCCTACAAGATGGGGATTATTATTACCGCCGTTTCACACAGGAGAAAACCGAGGCTCAGAATGGTTTAAAAAAAAAATAGGTCAAGGACACACAGCTAAGTAACAGAAGAACCAGAAATAAATCCAGCCATCTGGCAACAGTCCACATGCAGGATTGCTCTGCCTCACCTCTGTTAGGTCTAGCCAATACCAAGCAGCCCGCTTTCCCTTGCCATCTGTCTGTGTGACCGGGTCTTAGTAATCTCCTCTCTTGTGGGAGCACTTGTGGGAGCATGCACCCACAAACTTGAATCCGAGTTCTCCTGAAAGGGTGCAATCAACTGGGTATTCCAGCATATACCAAACACCTCAGTCCCTAAACTTGTGTCTTTCAGCTAAACAAGGCATTCTACTTACAGCCCTCATTTGTTCTTTTCTATCACCTAAGGTATTATATACCTACACCAACAGTTCTAGTGACAAAGACCACAAAACATCACTTGACATTTCCTTGAAACCACTCCACAAGGTTCCATTTGTGGTGTTATTTTCTTTTCTTTCTTATCTTCCTTTTCAACCCCCTCAACCCCCAAGATCTATGAACACTTGGACTTCAGGGGAAAGAAACACAGATCAAAACAGAAGCTTCAATTGTAATGAAACTGCGGATACAGACAGAGGTGAGAATACCTGTTTCATGACCCTTAAATGAAAGTTTCAAGAGGAGGAAATTGGGCCATCCTTCATCTCATTATCACAGAAATCTCTCAGGCTGGGCCGTGAGCCTCTCAGTTCCTCATACCTGTAGAGCACTCAGACAGGGCGGTGTCTAAGCAGCATGTAGGAGGAGACCTGTCCCAAGCTGGAGATGGGTGGCCAGGGAACGGAGGGTGGGGAGTACCCTTGCAAGTCCTCGGAACCCTCAGAGCAGCTCAAGAGAGCCATCGCACAAGCTCGAGGATTCGTGTGGATCCCAGTTGACAGGCTGCTTAAAGGAAGGAGGGCTTCTTGGTGCCCCATCCCCACGGAACACCCTGGGGACCCCCAAGGTTTACAAGACCCATACTCTCACTCACAGTTAGTGGTTTGGATATTGGGGGCATTCCTTTTCTCCACTATGGCTTGCCCATACATGCAACACTCCATCTGTGTTGTAGAGCAAGGGTAGGAAACTAAAGTTCTATGTGATAAGCCCAGCAGGCAGGGTGCGAGGAAATGACATACCTTGTATTCCTGTGACATGCAAACACTGCAGAGAAAACAAGACTCTTCACTCCCTCAAGTGAGTATGTGCTTTCCCATTTTTCTTGGAACAAGAGCCTCTCGACCTATTTCTGTTATCCCCTTTTGGACAGACAAATCCACAGAAAGACTGCTCGCTATGGGAGAATCACGGCATGCTGGGGCCCCGCCTCAAGATGGCGGGCATCTCAGGGAGCAGAGGAGACCAGGGGAACCGGGGCATGCTACTCTGCTCCAGGGAGGAGGCTGCTCTAGGCTTGCCTCTGCAAATCCCTGGGCACAGAACAGTTCAATTTCCCAATTTGCAACACCGGTTCAGTTTTAATTCTCTGCTGCCCTGGCCTGATAAAACAGCTGATGTATGAACATGGCCCAGGCTCCGAGTTCCTAACCAAGGCAGTTGAGAGTAGTCAAAAGACGGCTTGCCTAGAATGACCAACTCAGGTGTGCACTCAGCTGTCTGCGAAAGGCAGTGCGGACAGCACAGAGGCTGGAGAATCATGTAAACGTTATGATCTAACAGATGTGAGTTTGAATCCTGGCTCTACCCTTACTAGCTGCAAGGCCTCAAGTGAACCATTAACCAACCTCTCTTAGCTATAATTTCATCTGCAAAATGGGCCAATACCCAACTCTGAGACATGTGTGAGACTTCACAAAACGTGTGTGTGTGAAGACTACCATGAACCCTTCATAAATGCCACATTTCCTTCCCCCGTCTCTCTAACGAAACAACTTGGCCAAGTCTTAGCTTCTTTAAATTTCACTGACCTCATCTGCTGGAAAGGAGAATCATGCTCTGGCAGCTCTGTTCTATCCCCACAGGAAGGCATGAAGTGGTGCAGATGAAAGCAGGGTGCTTAAAAATTAGAGAAGTATGATTGACCTGATTGCCAACACCTTTTCCTTTCATTTCAAGGCCAACAAAGCACTAATTTGCTCCCCTAATGTGTTTCTACCCTTCCATAACGTGATGCAGGGAAAAGATGCAATCACAGGTGTGGTCATTCCTTACAATGGCTATTAGCAATCAACTCCTCAAGGCTGAATCCCCCCCACCCTCACACAGAAGCCAGGAAACATTGTTAGGTCACCGCCTGGTCACTTAAGAGCCCAGCAAGTTTGTTTTTCTCTCTCCATGCTCTTGTTTTAGGGAACTGAGGTAGAAAATAAAGTCACTTACCAGCTGCAGCTTTCTTTTACCCACACACACAAAAAACAGCCACAGGCCAAATGACTCCACTTAAGTATCATCAAGAATTCACTATGACATTTTCCAACTGTAAGGGGATTTTTGTCAGCTCTCCTTTTCCCACACCCTGTGAGAAAACTGGGACATGCTTTGGCATTTCCTGCACGGACTGACTGACAGCACCTTTGGCTTCAACTTTCAATGACCACAGTATCATCTACTTAATTTTTCTCTTAACAGCAACGAGGCATTAAAGTCAGTTCCGCTGAAGCTACTAAAAAATGTAGGTTTATCTTTCAGGAGTATGCCCCCCCCAAATTTTAACAGCCCCCTCACACAATCACCACATTTCCAAATCAAGCATGACAGAATGAGTAGGAATTGTATGATAAATCTAGAGGGGAAAGAATGAGCAAGCTGGAGGAATATATAGATATTACTGCCCAGGTCCCTCTCCTTCAAAGCAGTTTTTGGAAAGCAAAAAGAACAGAGCCCAATATTTTAGAAGTCAATTCTTTGCTAAATATTTATACATCATGATGTCTGAGGCTAACAAGGTGAAAAGGCCAATACAAACAGATAAGATCTCTTTATCAGGCAATAAGTATATCTCCACTCACCCTGTGATTTTTTTCACAACATATACCTTTTATTGATGTATACCATGCTTCCAGAAGCATACACAAATCTTTTTTTTTTTTTTTAAGATTTTACTTATTTATGAGAGAGAAAGCGCAGAGAGAGCATGGGGGTGGGGTAGGTATAGAGGGAGAAGCAGCTCCCCACTGAGCAAGGAGCCCAGGGAGATGGGGGGCTCCATCCCAGGGCTCTGAAATCATGACCTGAGCCAAAGGCAGAAGCTTAACCGACTGAGCCACCTAGGCACCCAGTATACACAAATATCAAGTGGGTAAGTCATGTGTTTATTACTCTGAGCTTTATTTGATGAGCATAACTTGGGAAAAAATTTGGGTAGTTCAGGAAAACTGCTAACACATTTTACACAACCTGTCTGTTGGCACAACTCAATCCCCAGCTTGCTAATACCCTTTGTATAAAAAGAGCTGACCCAGCATCCACCTGCATCAACTTGATCCCCTCAGCTCTGTCACACTCAGCAACACCCAATGCCTACAGAGGAAAAAAAAAAAAAAAAAGGAAAAAAAGAAAAAGGTAATAATAAAGCAGCACTGCAGCAGGGAGAAAAAGAAGACTTTTTAATGAGTCTAGAGAGGCAGACTTTACACCTGATTTACAAAGAGTGAGGGTCTGTGGAAGGCCTGCAATCTAGAAACATCAGCAGTGCTTTCCAAACCTACCTTCTGCACAACAAGTTCCACTGGTGGTGATGGTGTTACTTTTAAAGGAAAATGCCAAACATACCAAAGTAGAGACAACAGTGTGAGGAATTCCATACCGTACCCTTCATCCCAGCTAGTGACAATTCGCAGCCAATCTCCTTTGGAACTCCCCCCCACCCCTCACTTTTCCACTAGCAGTGCTTTGCAAAACTAAATTATTTGGAAGCAAATACTCCACCTGTATTTCAATTTCAGTATGTATTTCTAAAAGATAAGGTTTTTTAAAAAAAATCATAACACCATTACCAAAAATACCAAAAATAATCTTAATACTATCAACTAACCAGTAAAAAGTCCTTATCAGCTCAATTTTTTATGAACTTTTCCCCTTCAAATCAGGATCCACCCAACGTTCGCACACTGCATTACTGTGTCATGTCCCTTCAACAGTGTTTAAACCGCAGGTTCCCCTTGGCCGCGATTCTGAGAGCGGCCAGGCTGATCTCTACTGGCAATTCCCAATAATTCCATACCGCGGATACCACAAAAAGATTCCAGTCTTAGAGGTTCGTCAAAGAAATCAGGCACGTATATTAAGCAGTCCTTTTTTACAAATTAAATAAGTTAAAAAAAATAATCTGAAAGGCAAACGCGAAACGATTTGACCTGAGCAATTATTAGCAATTCTCAGAGCCACTCAATCACGTGCCCTTTGCAATTCTGATCCGTGCACACCCCCGCCTTACCCGAGTCATTTGCACAAGGTGGGGCGAAGCGAGCACGTCTCCTGCCAGCGGGACCTTCCTCCGCGGGTTGTGTCCTTGCGGTCGCCTCTGGAATTCCGGGGTTCGGCCCTGCCGCCACCTCCTGGGGCCACCTGCTCAGGTGAGAAAAAGGGAGCTTCAGCCAACCAGTTCCGGAGGGCAGTCCCAGGTTATTGAGGGAGACTTTTGAGCCAGCCAGGACAGAAGAACCAACCGGGACGCCACGGCGTCCGCGAACAAACAGCCCCGCAAAAACCTTGAGGCTTAATCCCAGTGCCCGGCACGCGGGGGCACAGTCCCCAACGACGAAGGGCGAGGAGAGGGGTCGCAGGGTCCGCCCCAATGAACACACGTGCGTCTGTGTCCGTGATTGATTACACCCACCTTTGGGTGCCAGAAGAATGAAACTTACAGACACCATTTCTGAAACGTCACCTATTTTATAATGTTTAAAAAGCTATCTCCACTGGAAACACAGGGTGCGAGTGTCTGGCCTGCCCAGGCCACCGGGTTCCATCCCCGCACCCCGGGGCCCTAGACCCACGACAGCCCGCCAGCGCTAAGGCTACGCGATAACCGCCCCCGCCCCCCAAGCCCAAGCGGTCAGGCTCGGGCGTCTGCAGCTTTCCGCCAAGGGGCCCCCGCCCCACTCCACGATCTCTTCAGTGGTAGAGAAACCCCAGCCTCTGAATCCCTGAGAGAAATTCGTCTCCCTCCCTGACGCGCACGGCGCCCGCCCGAGAAGCCGCAGGCAGCGCGGGTGCAGTCGACCGCCCGAAGCCCGAGGGCGCCAGCAGCGGCGGAACCGCCGGCCCTCGCACTCACCCGGCGCGGCTGGGCTCCGGGTCGCGCTCCGCGTCCCCGACGCTAGGCGCGGGACCAGACACCTGCTGCGCCCGGCCCCAGGTGACCGACGGGAGAGGGGCGGGAGCTCCGCGCGCTGGCTCGGCTCCGCCCCCAGCGCTCCCAGGAGGAGGAGCGGAGTAGCGAGCTTGGCCCCCGGGGACTCTGTTGGGACCCCGCCACCGCTAGGCCCGCTCCCACCAGGAAGTGCGGGCGTCTGAGCCGGGCAGCCTTTGAGCTCGCACGCCCCGTTGCGCCCCCGGCGGGAGGCTGGCGGGAGGGACGCCGCCTACTGGCGGGGGGAAGAAAGGCGATGGAGGATGGGGAGAGCGGTAGCTGCCTGCCGCTCAGGGAGACCTTTTCCGCGTACCCGGCCTTTGAGACCCCAGCCCCAACCCAAGGAACTCCTGTATCTGCAGGGTGGGCGGGGGCCATTGGCAGTTGTCTCCAGATGAAGGTACATACAGGGTAACAGACCTTGAAACATGCATGCCACTAGGCAACCGCCGGTAGGGCACTATGAATTCACTTTTTATATAAAAATCTGCAAATAGCACATTTGCAAATAATACAATTATATTACATTATCTTTTTTTTCGCCAACAACGGTGCTAAAATGTTGATTTTATCCAGTAAGTATTTGTGGAACACCTACAGCTTGCCAGTCGGTTAAACGTTTAAAATGTGGCACAATTTCCTCCTCGTTTTCCTTCAGAGCCTTGAACGAGGGGAGTGGCCTGAGCCTTCCTCAATTTCTCAGAGAGCCTGCGCCGGCTTTACAAGGAGTCTCAGAAACGCCCGCCAGAGGGCGCAAGAAGAACCCCGTGGTTGAAGTAAGTGTGCGCCGCAGAGGGAACCAAAGACCTCCCCCGAGAAGAATTCCTGAAGGAGGGGAGAGGTGAGCTGTCACGAAGGACTGCAGGGAAGGGGCGCCGGGGTAGCTCAGTGGGTTAAAGCCTCTGCCTTCGGCTCAGTCATGATCCCAGAATCCTGGGATCAAGCCCCGCATCGGGCTCTCTGCTCGGCGGGGAGTCCGCTCCCTCTCTCTCTCTGCCTACTTGTGATCTCTGTCTGTCAAATAAATTAAATAAATAAATAAATAAAAATCTCAAAAAAAAAAAGAAGAAGAAGGACTGCAGGGTTCATTGGGCAGTGCAGTGTTCAGTCGAGATCCCACCGAGAGCAAAGCCAGAAGCAAAAAGCTGGGCAGGGTGTGCATGTTCGGACCGAGGAATGGCACGTGAGTCAGTGTGGCTGAGGAGAGGACGAGAGCTGAGTTGGGGCCGCGGCCGCAGGGGGCCAGATGGTGCTCCTGTGAAAAGTAACGGCCGCCATCTGTGGAGTGTAGGTAAGACAGGAGCTGGGCACGCATCACTTGAAACGAAGCTCACACCAGCCCTACAAGGCAGGGCTATCACTCCTCCAAGAGCGAAATGAAGACTTGGCCGGCGACAGCGTTGGGACGAGGTGACTCTGAGGCGCTAGCCTCCCGCTAGCCGACACTTTCCAGGCTAGTCCGGCAGCCTGGACTTGTCCTCCGACGCTCCCAGCATCCCCGGATAGCCCCGAGTGCCTGCTGCTCTCCCAAGGCCTGTGTCCGCAACTGCCCTCAGACCCCTCCGGTCTGGAAGAGGTGCCCGACCTCGCGGCTGTGCACATGGGACTCCTTCCCAAGGGGAACCTCGTCTCAGGGGTCTGGGAGGGACGGAGGCAGAGCCCCGGGTCGCTCCCGCAGCATCTGCTCTCTCCCTCCGTAAGAACAGAGCTGAGCCGAGCCTGGGACCGCTTAGAACAAAGACTACGTTTCCTTGCCTCTCTAGCAACAATATTCATCGACGGGGTGCCCAGAGCCCCCAGAATCCACTTGACGCAGCAGCACTTCTGAGACGACTAGCCCTCCCCCAGCATCTTTGATCTGTCAGATATTCTTCACGGGGCAGACACTGCGCTCTGCCTTCCTGATAATCCGCTTCCCCGACCTTTCTGAGAGAACCTACATTTTGTTCAGGGAGGCAACAGGCGGAGCGGAAAAACGCTCATCTTCCCAGAGGTCCTTGTGAGGCAGTCCCATGACTTGATTCTGGCGGTGGGGATGCAGGAGGAAGTTGCCTAACACATCTGAGATTTTACCTTCATAATATTGCCTTGGTGTTTCCTTCCGGCTGTGAGGTGCTTGTGAGGTTGGAGGAGGGGCAGCTGTGTTGTGACCGCAGGGCGACACACCAGGGGTGTTGTCTCGAGCAACTGAATACAATCCTAATGGATATGCTATTCTTTCCCAAGAATAAGCGTCAAACATCAATCCTGATTAACACTCTGCCTAATACAGAGTAGTAATAGCAGAAAGAGGAGGACTTTAGGCATGAAATAGTCCAAGTATGAGTTTCAGCTCTTCGGGTTTTTTTTGTTTTTTTGTTTTGTTTTGTTTTGTTTTGTTTTTAGCTAGCCACTTTGGGCAAATTTGTGAAATTAGATTTTGTAAAATTAGAAGTCATAAAAACACACACACAAAAAGAAACCCCCCAAAACCTCATAAAAACACAAAAAACCCAGAGGTCATAAAAACACACAAACATAAAAACACAAAATTAGAAGTCATAAACACACACACAAAATGCAGTGCCTGGCATACAGTGAGTGATTAATAAATGATCATTGAGATATTGGGATGATTCTTATCTAATGGTTTTTAGTCTCCACCAGATGGTACCTGGCCTGTAGATTGAGAATCACGTATTCACTTTCCAGTTTCATCCCTTACACAAGCCTTTTTGCCTATTCAGATCTTAGATGCTTTGTAACAGCAAAGCCAATCCTTAAGTAAAAACTTGACTTGTCTAGTATCTTGTTTCCTCAATTTCTAGCCTATACCTGCTGTACCAAGAATTGTTTTTAAAAAATAAGAATAGAGAGATACATGCTGGCTCAGTCTGTAGAGCTTGCCACTTTTGATCTGGTCATGAGTTCAAGCCCCACCTTGGGCCTAAAGTTTGCTTAAAAAAATAAATTAAAAATTAAAAAATGAAAGAATAGGAACGTGTGTTTTGTAGTGACTAGTCATGAATTACTGGTACCCTAGTTTGACAAATACAGGTGCATATTTGACTCTCTAAAACAAGAAACTCTAATTTCAATGCTTCTAGGTTTGCATTTTTAATTACCAAACAAAATGTTTTAATGGTCCAAAAACATGTTTTTGTTGAAACTGCATCATATCCCTCTTTGTTGAAGTTGAATAACATTAAAAATGAGTATTATTCACTTAGTTTTTTGTTTTTGTTTTTTTTTGTTTTTTTTTACAGAGAGAGAGAGAGAGAGAGAGAGAGAAGCAGGCTCTTGGCTGAGCAGAGAGCCCGATGCGGGACTCGATCCCAGGACCCTGAGATCATGACCTGAGCCGAAGGCAGCGGCTTAACCCACTGAGCCACCCAGGCGCCCCTTAGATTTTTAATTAAAAAATATACATGCTTTCAACTACTACGGGTTTTTTTTTTTAAGATTTCATTTATTTATTTGACAGAGAGAAAGAGATCACAAGTAGGCAGTAAGGCAGGCAGAGAGAGAGAGGGGAGGAAGCAGGCTCCCTGCTGAGCAGAGAGCCAGATGCGGGGCTCAATCCCAGGACCCTGAGATCATGATCTGAGCTGAAGGCTGAGGCTTAACCCACTGAGCCACCCAGGCGCCCTACTGCAGGTTTTTTCATTTAAATTTTAGGTAGTTAACATACAGTGCAATATTGGTTTCTGGAGTAGAATTCAGTGATTCATCACTTACATACAACACCCAGTGTGCATCATAACAAGTGCCCTCCTTAATTATTTTTTATTTTTTACTATTATTTTTATTGGGGGGAGTGGCAGAAGGAGAGGGAGAGAGAATCTTAAGCAGGCTCCACACCCAGCAAGGAACCTGTTTCAGGGCTTGATCTCACAACCCTGAGATCATGACCTGAACTGAAATCAGATGCTTAACTGACAGAGCCACCAGGCACCCTGTAGTTTTTTGGTTTTTTGTTTGTTTGTTTGTTTGTTTTTTAAAGATTTTATTTATTTGACAGATAGAGATCACAAGTAGGCAGAGAGGCTGGTGGGGGGGGGGGAGGTGGTAAGCAGGCTCCCTGCGGAGGGAGTCCGTGGACTCTGGGATCATGACCTGAGCCGAAGGAAGAGGCTTTAACCCACTGAGCCACTCAGGCGCCCCCACCCTATAGTTTTTAAGTTAAAAAGTTACCATAATTTGAGGGGGCACCTGGGTGGCTCAGTGGCTTAAACCTCTGCCTTCAGCTCAGGTCATGATCCCAGGGTCCTGGGATCGAGCCCCGCATTGGGCTCTCTGCTCAGCAGGGAGCCTGCTTCCCCCCTCTCTGCCTGCCTCTGCCTACTTGTGATCTCTCCCTCTGTCAGGTAAATAAATAAAATCTTTAAAAAAAATTACCATAATTTAACCTGCCTTCTATTACTAGACATTTAGGTTATTTTTAGTTTCTCTCATTACAAACAACATTGCCTTGAATATCTTAATCCCTACACTTGGCCCACGTTAAGCTGACCACGTCTCCCCACTCCACTGCTACCTCCCCATTCTGCCATCTCCAGGCCACCATCCATCTGTTGACTGGATTATTTGAAGAGCCTCCTGAATGGCTCCCTTACCCTGCTTCCTTTCCTCTCTCTTTGCCTGCCTCTCTGCCTACTTGTGATCTCTGTCTGTCAAATAAATAAATAAAATTTATTTTTAAAAAATGTTCTAAAATGTCAGGTCAGATATTATCCCTCTCTGCACAAAACTTCCCGGGGCTTCCTTCTCGAATTCAGAGAGAAAACCGGTCTCTGCAATGGACTATAAAGCTATACTGTCTGCCCCCAATTCCATTACCTCCCTGAACTGTACCCCCACTCTGTTCCAGCCATACTAGCTTCCCTGTAGCTTGTCTATTTTTTTATATGCCGTGTATGCTTTTGCCTCAGGGCCTTTGCACTTGCCATCTCTTCTCTCTTAACTCTCTTCTTCCAAATACCATAAGACTTCATCTT